TCTTTGACAGTTGAGCTGGGAGAAGAGACTTTCTGATGTATCTTGGGGTCACTCTGAGCAGTAAAGTCCCGAGAAGACCCTTACTCAGTGTTCACTTGTCAGGCTTTGTGTTTGGCCCTGCACAAAGTGTGGCCTCTTTGAGATGCCATTCATCAACACATTCTTCTCTACTGACCTCTATTTGTGTATGACTGGGAATTGTATGGGATGTTACACATTCATTCCCTGATTTGCTGTAGACAGGAATCACAGGCAAGCACACAGGAACACTTACTGTGTAGGTATGGTCTTGCATAGCTCAGTTTGGGCTGGAAATATCCAAAAGCACACAGGCCTGTAGCCAGCTGCTTTTCAATGGCAGTGTGATTAAGTTACTTAACTACCATCCCCTGGCAGCACAAGAACCTCAGCTCAGAGCTAACAGGCAGCAGCAGGCAGTGATGCTGTCACAGGGCTCCTGGTAGGCACCTGTGTATCTCTGTGCTGCTCTGCCTCTGCTTTGATAGGTCAGAGTCGATGTGCAAAGACAGAGTCCTGCTGTCCCTGCCTTTGGATGGCACAGCTCAGCTCTGGAGTCTGCCTGGAGCACACTGGATAAGCATGCTAAGGGCTGAGCAAGTGGCACATAGCAGTTGTACAGGGAAGGAAAACCTGCAGGAAGCCAGCCTGGCCTTTCCTAATCACCCTCCTGCTGGAACCAGGGTGGGTGAGCCCATACAGCTTAGATTCATGGGCTGCTCTTGGTGTTCAGACCTGTACTTTTCTCATGTCTCTTCTGCTTTAGTCTCCATCTACATTTTAAATCACTAGGGCCTACAGGTGACAGGATGGGGTTTCTTCATTCCCAAGGGGGTGCCTTTGGGATTTGTTTAGTTTTTCTATGCAACTTTCATTCTGAGGAGGATATAATTTTTACTTCCTTTAGCTAGGATAACTACAGGCCACTTTATAAGACAATCTAAAATGTTAAGAGGTTTTATTGTGCCTGCTATGCCTTTTTAACGGTAACAAAACATGGATGTTTTATCCTAAAGTTCTGGTTTGTTCTGTTCAGTTTTGTCTCCTTCACCACTTTTGAAAGTCAGCTGAAAGCTCTCTGAATTAAAACTCATTGAAATCAATACCAGTTTGGGGGAATTGATCAAGGTCCATGGAATAAACAAACACATCTCTCTTTTTGGAGTATTTTTCAAGGAGCTGTACTGTGGTTTAATCACAGGGAGGCACAAAGCATAAATATATGCATGGAACACAAACATTATCTGTACCAGAGCAGTGGACACCCTGACAATCAGAGGCTCAGCTGTAACAACAAAGTTAAAAACTCCACTCAAATTTAGCAACTCACCTATAAAGAACCAACCTGATAAATGAGAACTTTATTATAAATTATACAAGTATATTTGGTATTCCAGAGAAATTATCTTATTAGGACTCCATCATTTGCAACACACACCCCCTGAGGAAAGTCAAACCTATTACAAAATGGGAGCAGTAAATAATAAAATGATATTTCACTGAGGGCAAGGTACCTGACCAAGAATTAAAATGTATCACTTAGACTTCAACTGTAGCCGGTGCACGTAGTGGTAGTCTGCCAAAACACACAACATCAGACCTGTGTGAAAGAGGTTATACAATGGATAAATGTTAGGACTTTACCCTTTTTTTAAACTTATTTTGTCCGTATCTTTTTTGTGGCTCTAAGCTTTTCTTTCTAAAATACTTTAAAATTTAATGTAAAAATATAGTTTCTCTGACTGTGCATAATCTCACAGTTCTTCATTCCACTAAAGCTTTCAGGAAAAAAAAAAAAAGGCAAAGGAAAAGACAACAGTTATGACAAGTCCCATGTATTTTACATAGATTTTAGTCATCTAAGACTCCAAATTCGACAAAAAGTAAATTTTAGGCAACCTGATGTGTGCTGTGAGTTTATAAATTTTAAAGAGTGAGTTAACTCACAAGTCTGTTATGCTGGGAACATAAAGGTGGTGAAGGAATACTTATATATGTAATTAAGGTTAATAATACTCCAAAAAGGCAATCTGATTAGGTCCAGTTTGAGTGTTTACCCCTAATATGACCTTAAACCTTTTTAGTGGGGCATTTGAGTTTTTTGTATACAGCACACATTTTATGAATAATAAACAAACATTTGTATTCATAAGACACATAAGACACTATGATATGTCAAAGGACTCTAAAGCATTTCAGAACAAAGCTTGAGAAAGGTTGTGCCTCAAAAATAAAACCACACTGAATACTGATGTAAATTCTCCCCTATTAATGATGTCACTATAGTAAAACAGCGATAAAGACTTGGGTAAAATTGGGAACTCTAAGATACACATTGTATGTGAATGCAACAATACACAGCACCAAAAATCCTTTTTTGAAAAGAATTGCAAAAGCTTGCTTTAGAGGAATCAAGTTATCTTTCTCTCTCCTTCCAAAAGGAGAGTCAAACCTTTGTGCAGTATTCAGTCAGTAAAATATTAGGGCCCTTACACCCTTGTACCAGTGAGATTCAGCTGCCCTGTAATCTGTGTCTTGTGGTGCTGTTTTTGTGCAATGCTGCAGCATGAAGGGAGCTGCCAACCCGAACCTCCGAACCTCCCTGTCACTGATACTGAGATCAAAGTGAAGCTGGCACACAGGGTTTCCTCATGATCTGGTAAAGGTAAATTAGAAAGCAAAGTCATTAAACTGGGGCAAAGGGAGGGAAGGTAAAGTTGTATCACTGACCTATTCTTGTTTTCCTTCTTCCCCCTCTCAGGGTAAACCACAAGCACTGTAAAGATTTAAATAAGCCACTTAATCATAAGGGATTCATCACTTGTCACACCATTAGCTGGTATGAAAGAGTTAACAGTGCAGAAATTAGAAAAAAAATCCAGCCCAGATTCATCTGTTCTCAGTGCAAACTTTTTATGAAGGCTCATTAGAGGAAAATTAGAGGGAAAATTCAGTACTTTCTGTAGAGGTAACTCAATACATGGGAATCCATCAGGACCAGAAAAGCCGCTTTTTGTAGATTCAGGACTAGTTTTTCTGACAGAATTATACTTCAAATGCCTCTACAAAATTTTCCACTGATTAAGCTAAGCTTTCTCCTAAGGCATCTTACTCATTTTGCAATATAAGTCAATTTCCATATCAGCAATAATGTAAGCAAACAGTAGTCTGTTAGTAGCAGTTAACCCTTGATGAAACCACTCTACTGGTACCAACACAGAAATATTTCTCCATACCTCAGACGTGGTTTTGAAGTTTGGTCTTGCAGAAGTGAAAAAGAGGCAACTCAAAGCAGCCAATAACAGTGATCTGCATTTTAATAACCCACTTATCAAATGGGTTATATGCAGTCAATATAGTCAAAGCAGAAAACCAGGCACTACTGCATGAAACTGCACACACTGCATTAGAGCTCCTGCCCCTGGCTGTGAGAAGACTCATGGAAGGTGATGCTAAAAACACCAGCTAGAAGAAAAAGACTTGCCTTAGATAGGATCAGCTGGCCCTTGAAAGCACCAGTTGTCTCATCCATACTCTCTCTTTAGTAGCTCCCATGGCACAAATTTATCTTTTCTCCATTAGGTTGTGTTGTTCCAGATGAAATACTGCTGTAGCCACAATTAACCCTTACTAAAAAAACAAACCAAAACACTTTTGCATTTAGTGACACTGATTTTAAGCATCTGGCGCCACATGCTTACATATGGGATCTGTGCTTGCATGCATCAGCAGAGTTAACAGCCTTCAGAATATGCTTCCAAGAAAAGTTCTTCCCACAGCATTTCAGGTGCCTAACATTCCCTAGTGTAATTTGATGTTTAACACAGAGCATCCTCCCCTGCACCAAGTATGCAAAAAAATCTTCTCCAATAGACTAGAGAGATTTACTTGAGAGGAATTCTTAGTTTTTAAAATATTTACTAAGGTTTGATCAGAAAAACTTGAATGGGCTGAAAATATCATTATTTCAGTTTAGTCTATAACAAAAAGCAGAGCCTAGCCTAAGCATTTAACCAGGTTTTAACATCTTATTCTGAACCATGGATTACAATTTCTAAGTTATAGGGTTCCACTAGGCTGGAAATAAATCCCCACAGACTAATGTCTACAGAGCAGCTATTTGCTTCTTGCAGCAACGGTGATGAGGGGGATTTCTCCACCTAACTCAGCCACTTTCGTCAAGTGCTGTGGTGTACTTACAGAGTAAGTACTGCTTAGTATCACTATAACATCACATGAGTGATCTCGTGGTTATTAGATAGTTTTTCTGCATTGCACCTGTGCCTCCTCATTTCAGGGGTTAGCAGGGGTCTTTGATGAAGGCTTCCAAGGTCTTCTTCACATCTGAACTTTTCAACCTTGTCTTCAGAGAATGTGCAGTTACAGTGTTCCTTGGTCGGGGTGGTCTTAACCAGCCTAAATTCTTTCTTTTGTGGCTAATTGTCTTTACATTTGCCAATTTCTCATTAGTAGTATACTTATCTATCTCTAAAACTGCCCACCTGGTGAGTTTTTCCTTCTTTTTTGTCTATTCAGCATTAAGCAACTAGCCATTACACTGTATAGAAAGTTATTTATATCAGGTTACATAGGTATAAAAGTTATGATTCTGGTTATATTGGTACCAGGTTATACAGATACATTAGGTTATATTGATATCTTCTAACTCAAGCTACATAAGCACCTTGTAACCTAAGTTATATAGGCATCAGTTACAAACACTGTCCTATGCTCTAACATCTGTGAAGTTTTTGGGTTCTTTCAGGTGTTTACAACACTTGGGCCAATGAAAAGAAAGAGGCATTACTCGTTAAGGGGCTGAATTACATTCATCTCACTGTACAACTGGTTCTGTGCAAAGTGTGAGAGTTTCAAGTGCATTTATAACTCTCCTGCACAGAAACACAAAGCAATGGTCTGTCAAACTGTAAGGAGGGCAACACTTAAGAGCAGAAGTACTGCAAACACTTACACTCAAGAGGTCAGGAGATACCAGTAAAATGAACTTTATTTCAAAGCTCTTTAAAAAGCTTCACAATAACACTAACAGAATTAGCATTTCCTTCATTTTATGTACCCCACATGAAAAATGTATTGTTTAGCAAGAGATGAAACGTAAGCGTTTCTGCATGCTACTAACACATTTCACCATCTCATTACCTGATAAGTACTTTGGACTGCAACAATCAAAAACCTCAGACAGAAGGATTTCTTCTGCAAAGTCCTTGTGAAGGGGACAGACACTGGCTTTTTCTGACATACCCAATTAGATGTCCAGACAAAAGAAAACTACCTTGGCATCTACAAATGCCTACGAGTGTTTCGATTACAACCTTTTAAAGGAGCAGTACATTTCAAAGCAAGGGCTTCTTTTCATCTTTAGTGATGCAAATGGTTAAATACTGCACAGAAGCTTAGTATGAACTCACAATTCCACAGGAATCTGAAAGTTACCAAGGCAATTTTCCTTTTAGGATAGTCATGACCAACACTTTTACTATTCTTCCTCCCACAACATAACATATTCCCAGACAAGTCTTAAGAAAAAAATATAAATAGTTTCCAAAACAATGCATTCCCACCCCCATCACATATGACAGCCAAAACATCTTCTGTCATGGGATGAAATAATTTGCTGCAAGTGCAGTGGCTTAGTCCAGGTCCATGTTAATGGTGTTTTGATCATTCGGATGGCATTCGCCGTTTTGCTGAGGCATTTCAGAATTTTTATCATCTCCCATGTCTTCAGTTTTATAATCACTCTGCTCACTTAATGGGTTTTCCTCCTTAGGAGAGTCAACTTTTGGTTTTGGTTGTGTCACAACAGGCTCACAGACATTGTTTAACTCCTAAAAAAGATGGAAGAAATGTGAGCAGAATGTGTATAAAGGAGCCACCAGCTTCACTAGTGCAAAAAGTCCTGTGTCCAAAAAACTGTTTGAAATTGGCTTCTGCATTTGTTCCCCTGAGTCCAAACTGACAAGTACTTATTGTACTCTGAAATAAATTAACTGGTATACTTTCTGATGTTCTGTGGGCAAAGTTCAACTAAGTATTTTGGATTTCATATTGGTTTCTCTCAATACTACTTTGTCCCTCAGTAAAACAACCTGAGTTTTTAAGGGGACTGAAAGACAAAATATCAATGAGCTCCATAGAATTGCATACAGTACACTAGAGCTCCTCTTCTTTCTGCTGGATCTCCTCCTTTCCATACTTTCTACCTTTCAAGAACACTAGAGCAGCGAGATGAAACTGGGAAGGACAAAAGGCACAGATACCAGTCTACTTTCAGCACCAAGCTCTAAAGATAGTTTCTTATGGTACTTACCTGTAGCTTTGCCTTAATTTCACTTGAATGCACAGCTGGATCCTGATCTAAGCTCTTCTTAGCCTGGGCACTCACAGCATTATTCATCCACTCTACCACTTCACTAACACACTTCTCTACTTTCATCATTTCCATCTCATCGATATGGATGTATTTCTCATCCTGTCAAAATACAAACATTTTGTATTAGTTAACAACTGTCAAGTGTTAATAACATAATGAAGTTATGCCAACAAGTCTATCTCAATTATTTATAACTTGTAAATCTCTTCCAATGGTCAAAACAAATAGAAGTTAGCCACAAGGGAGATCCATTACAGCCAGAGACAACAGGAAATACAGATGTGAATATAAAGCTTCCTTTACCCAAATGAACAAGAAATCTGGTTCACAGAGGATATAGAAGCTTCACAAAAAGGACATGTAATAAAATACAACATTCTTAAAAAAGCTGATTAAAAAAAATATTCCCTCCCATTCTGGAGGAGCTACCTGAGCCCAAGATAGTTTAGACATTGAGATTCTGATGTACAGGGAAAGGACCAAAGTTTTCAACTTTAGCATTCCCTACAATGCTAGTTACACAATTAACTACTATCAGGGGAAGGACCTACCCAGCAACACAACCAATGAATCCATATTTAGAATTCTTAAATAAAACCAAGTTTTTAAATATACTATTTACAATGATGCTAGTTATTTCACATGTAACACTACTAATGATTTCACTTAATTTTGTAATCTATAGCTGTGAAGACATAATTGTTTCTGATGTTAATATCAGGTTTAATTAGTCTGAGTGTTGAAAGCCATCCTATTAAAATTCTTTAAGCTGAACTTCAAGGAGCACATTTTCAGACTGCAAAGCTTATCAAGAACATAATCTACAAATACCAATGGAAAAAAAAACCAAAAAAACAAAAACACCACAAAAAACCAAACCCCAAATATCCACATATAACAAAACTGTGTTTTTTACTTTATCTGCAGCTAGGTTTTACACTAAATGCCTCTCACCATACAATAATTCTTGTCCCTGAAAGAAGAGCACATTTCTAAAAAACAGATCAGTTTTTTAAAGGTCAAGAATCAGACCACAAGTCTAAACTCTTTATTAGAACACCCTCTTTAGCCTGAAAACATCCAGAAGTATCAAGCAACTGAAGATATGACACACTGCATGAGATTTTTTGAGTACTGGGAAACATTTGTGGTGTTAAATTTGTGACCTATATAGCAGTAGTTCACAGCTCATCTGAAAGTGCATTTGAAGCCCTCCAGCCAATGAGCCTCACAGAAGCACCGTGGTTAAAAAAAGGCCACTTACCTTATTCCTGAATTCCCCAGCTATTGTAGCATAGTACTGGAGCCTGTGTCCCAATTCTTGCAATAGCTTTGGTCGCTCCTCTGCCTCTTGGAAGCGCATTTCAATCGGAGTACCTAATTTCTAGAAAAAGCAATTCCTCCATGTTTACGTGATTCATTAACATTCATTAATGTTGTCTAGCACAGTCTTTTGGAAATTTTGCTTTTCGGGCATATTAACAGGCCTACCTTTAAATTCTCTAATTTTTCTACATACACCTGCTTTGCTTCATCCTCACCCTCTTCATACAGCCAGCCTTCTGTCTCTGCTAGGAGGGCAGAGAATCCCTGCAGATCCTGTGTGCCAATATAATTCAACACATCAAACACTGCAATACACACCAATCAACCATGTTTGTCTTGAAGGAACATAACAGAGGTAAATATACACATGAATCCTTAGCCTCCTGTATAAAAATTTAATTTCTACTGCAGCTTTTGCCTAATTTAGTTACTTAAACCATGCCAGCTTCTGGACTAAGGAACACACATCTACAACAAAGGTAGCATTTACAGACTTTTGTCTTTGATTAGGCCAATGCTTGGGGTCTAACTCTAATCACGGTTTTGGTTACACATAAAGCAACACAGTTCCCCCCTTCCAGTCACCCGTTCCAATTGGAAATAAAACTTCACTCCATTTGTGACAAAATCTTTTTTCAGGGATATGTATTTGTTTCACCTAAGCCTTACTCTGGGTTAGTCACTGCCATCATTCAAATGAAGTTCTGGTTTTGCAGTATGTTTAGGGTGGCTTTGAGCAAGTTTAACCAAGGTATACAAAACAGATACTTGGTATTTTCAGAGAAGTTCCTGAAACCATAACCTACCTTTTCACAAACAAACTTTTCATATGGTCCAGACAACTTGTCCCTGAACTCATATACATATTCCTCCACTGCATTCTTTGCATCATTTCTTTCTTTCTCCAGTTTATCTTGCATAATCATCTTTCCCTGTATACCACAGAAAATATTTTAATTAAAAAATAACAATGTTCAAACAGCATTCTACGAAGCACAGCTCCCCTAGAGTCTCCCAGAAGCCTTGGTTCACCTAACTGTTGAAATTCTCATTGTTATGCAGTAGACTCATCTGAAGAAATGGGTTGCACTTCTCTGGATTACAACAGTTTAAATGAATCTGTGATGCCATTCCACGGATCAGTGCTCTGATACTAATTGCTGTAAAGGACACTTCAGTCTTTCTGATAAACATTGGTCAGTTATGTGTTAGAAGGCAGACAGCATGTTAGCTCACTGTTAACTGAGCCCACACTCCAGGGTGGCAGAACAAGAACAGAGGCTGCCTTGAGAAGCAGGTGAATGGTTAATAACTGCACACAAGAAAGCAGTCTAAACCACACTAACTCACCTCTGTTTCAATATACATATTGAGGAGATCTTTTCCTAACTGCCAAACCAAGTTAGCTTCAATGGGCAGTTCCACATTCTTCACTTTTATCTTGGGTTTTTTAGCTTCTGGGGGCTGATCACCTTTCTTCTCATTTGTCTGAGTTAGAAAGAAGAAAAATAAGATAATTTTCCTGACTCCTTTCTGATGAAGTACTGCTATGATGAAAGATACGTTCAGAGGAAGAACACACAAAGGTTTTTCCATGTTCTTTTAAAATCTTCAAAATATGCTCGTGAGGCACTTTCCTTTTGGGGATTCCACCTCCTATCCTAGTCTCCTTAGAGTCTGTTTCGAGACAGTAAGCACTGAGCTGCAGCAAGGACATTCTTCAGATACATGCTGTGTTTGCAGATTTTCCAGAAGTGTTCATGTGTAACATAGCAGTTCACTAATGATGATGAAGGCCTTAAGACTTTAACCCAAAGCATTTTTCATCTCATACAGATGAAAAAATTGAAATCACTAGCAATAACATGCAGACAAATGTTTCACACTGATTGTTTCCTTTTAAGTTTATGAATTCCTGATCCCAGCTTCCCTCAGCAGGCCTAATAAGCTTGGCCTTTAACTGCTGTTTAAATTGAAATGTCTGCAACCCAAATAAACGAGTTGCACAACGCTGCAAGAAGACATGGAAGTGGTGGAGAAAGGCTTCTTGCAGGAATCCTTTTGCAAACTCTGTACAGAAATCATCACAAGATACAGATATTTTTCACTATAGTAAAGGTGTGAAAATGAAAAAGGTTCCAACACCAAGTTCCTACTTTTCCTGAAATATATTACCATTTTAAAAGCCATTATATAGGATAACATTTTCAACAGAGTTAAAGGGTCACTCACTTTCTTGACATCTGGGATTTTGTTTTCTTCAGAGGGAGGTTCTGATGAAGGGGGAGACTGTGACGTTTGCTGACCATCAGTTTGTACCTGGGACTGTGTTCCAGCCTCACTGTTCTCTTGCTGGATATTTTTCTGAAATGAAAGCCCAGGCACAAAGGATGTAGAAGGCATGTGCACTTGCATTTAAGTATAGGGCACGTCACTTCTGACGCACGTACGGTACAAAGTGCCCTACACAGCATTCTGTGCACACGCAGAAACACACACGCTTCAGCTCTGGAGATACAGACTGGGCACAAGTTCAGAAGGAGCTCATCAAAGTGTTACCAGTGCCAGGCTTGCTGCACAATACTTGTATGCGTGTGTGCACGTGCGACCACTTTCTTTTACAAAAAGGGGCTTTTAATTTCTTGAGTCATAATGTTTACTTTTTCCCCCTCAAAACTATTAAAAGATCAAGTAGACTATAACAATGTGCATTATTCCCCAGTGCTCCCCTCTCCTTCAATGCTGTAGAAAACAATTCAGCTTTCCCTTTCACAAAAAGTTTCAAAAAACTTCACTGATACAAAGGGTTACATACAAATTCTTTCACCACAAAGTGCATGGATAATTAACAATCCAGATCTAGTTCTCCTGTTTGGAACAGTTGGATAACTATGGCAGCTGTAAGCAACCCCACCCTCAAACAACCTGTCACTATTTGGCACTTCACACAATAACTGATTTTGAAATCCACACACTTTCAAGATAGCAGAAATTATCTCCTGTTCTTGTAAAGACAATTTCCTGACAGCTACACACATCTTAAAATTAATCTCCCTTTGCTTCCTTAGAGGAAGGTATTTTTCTTCCAGAGTATGTAACAGCAGAATACACTTTCATCAATCATTAAGGACATTCACACACACGAAAGGTCAACTTACATCACTGAAGTTTTCAATAGACCTCTGGTCCTGAGCTTCCACTTCAGTCTCAACACTGACATCTTCACACTCCTCACTTTTAACTGGTTCTACCATAGATGCAGTGGACACACTGAAAATGCCATGAGTATTGACACGGACTTTCACTTTGACTTTAGACTTCTCTCCGTCTTTCTGGGCTGCCACATTCTGGATAACATACCTACCTAAAACCAAAAGAATCAAAACTCACACAGTGGAATTAAGTAGGTAATATTACAGAGCCAGGAAAACATCTCTCTTTTTCATAGACAAACTGTTTTATAAATATTTAATGAAGGCTCCATGCTAATCTCATGGTCCCTCAAATTAAATCAGTACTACCAGAAAAAAAACACCAACTAAACCAAAGTACACTGCTTTTCAGCTAACTTCATCTTATAAAGTTAAGAGTAGGTTCTCCTGACACAACTAATACAGAGTAAATACAAAACTGGTGCTCTCTGTGTTACTAGTGGGCTGAAAGAAAACTACTGAAGGGCTTAGTCTAATGTCAATATTAAGTGGTGCCTTTCTAATACAAGTTACTGCCCAACACAGAAAGAATATTTCTAGAGGCTTTCCTTACAGCTTGTAACATCGGTGCAAGTTGGCCATTACCTTTTATTCTTGGGCAGAACCTAGTTGTTCTGTAACTACTGTAATACTTGAAACAAGCATTGTGAAACTAATAGACAGACAATTAGCTCAACAGCAAATGAAGAATCAGATGTCCTTGACATTAACTGCAGACATTTTTCCTTATGCATGGATTACCAAGAGTGACCTGGAGACCAGAATGCTCACTTAGCAGCAAAGTACAAGCTGCCTAAATTCACAGGCCAAATCTACATATTTGCACACACCATTCCTTCAGCAACAGATCTAGATCACAAATGCACAAGCTTTTACCAGCCTTTCTCACAGGCTTTGGAATATAATCCTCGCTCTTGTAAATCAAATAATACTGCAGTTGTGTGACCTGTTCTCTCTTTTGCCAGTCTCGTCAGAACTACTACTTCACCCATTAGTCATACCAATAATTCTGTTCTGAGCAAAGAATTAACTGGCAACTGAGTTGAAACAAATCTGATCTTCAGTTCTGTTCTTACCAGTTCTCAGAACAGCAGATAAACAGTTTCTCATTTGTCAAAGCCAAATTAATTGAACACTGACAAACCCCACCATCAGTCTTCATGGTAAGAGTAAGCCACAAAAGGCAGTCTATGTTTCTGTAACTACAGAATACAGTCCGAGAATCATAGAATAGCCTGGGTTGGAAGTGACCTTAAAGACTGCCTTCTAAACTCTCTCTCTTTCATTGGACCAGGTTGCTCAGGACTTCATCCAACCTGGTCTTGAATACCTCCAAGGATGGGGCATCCACAACTTCTCTAGGAAACCTATTCCAGTGCTTCACCACCCTCACAGTAAAGAATTTGCTCCAAATATCTAATGTAAACCAGCTCTATTGCAGTTTTTAAAGCTATTACCCCTCGTACTGTCACTGCTTGTGCTTATAATAAGTCCCTCTCCCTTGTGCTGGTTTTTCAAAATACATGGCATGCAAACAAACAACATTTAATTGCATGTTTAGAACTCAATAATTATTTAATTGGCCTGTCTTTACCATCAGTCTTTTTCTAACTAACCACGTTGTAAGCTCTTTGTAAGTATCAACACTGTCAAGTGCCACAATTTGTCAAAAAGTATGAAAGAATGCTTAGAAATGTTACATAGACAAATCAATACTATAGTCTTGTAGCTGCCACTATTTCAGACTGCTTTGATTAGAAGTTACTCAGCATTATGTCAGTCCCAGAAGGCATAAGTAAAAACAACAACTAGTTATTCAAGACATGCTTTTTTGTATATACAGGAGATATTATTCAATTATTCCTAGCTTGCTTCAGTGATAAGCAGAAAAGAAGATTAAAAAAGGTTAAAAGCTATCTTTAGTAGTCATAACCACATTTTAGTTGTAGGCATTGATTTGCTCCCCCCCATTTCTTCATTCAGCCAAAGCAACATTATAAGCAAGAAAAATAAAAAATACCGATTCAGTTGTCTCAGGAATGGGAACATTCTGAGTCCTTCAGAGACAAAAGCCTGAATATATACATCATAGCCATACTGCACAACAGTTACTCTTTGATTTCAAATTGTTCTATTGGAGACAACACTATTTCCAGGACAACTACTTACCAATTTTTGACTCAGGATATGGGACTCCATTAGGATCAGAATAAAAAGCTTCTAGCTCAAATGGACCTTTCCTATAGAATGTAAGTACCTTAGAAAAGGGTGCTGCATGATTTCTGCTGAAGACCTCATGAACTCTGTAATTAAGGGAAAAGTATCACTTTTAGCAGTGTATTTGAGCTGGAAGGTTTTGATATAGGGTCAGAACTCTTTAGAGGAATATCATGTTTTGAAACATTTACCCTTCTGAACAATTCCAATAAAGACACTTCACTACTGTACTGCAAGGAAAAGGATTTACTGTTCTCTACTGTAATGAGAACTTGTCCTATTCCACTATTTGAGCTTGAAATAGTGTATTTTGAATCATAATTTGCACCCTTCCTTAGTCTCAAAGGGATAATTATAGCCCTGTTAATTCCTTGCTCATTTACGTTCCATGGCTCAGCTGAGAACCCTGACACCAGATTATTATTCGTTCCTCAACATGACAGAAAAACAACCAGCTTTACTTCATGTTCTATGGCATGTCTGCTATTATGCCAGCCTGATCCCAATTTCCAACTAAGTTTTGATCTTCCTAACTGTGGAAGATCTCATCTAATAACCCAGATTGGAGAAAATGAGAGCTTTACCTAGAACAGGAACCCACAGGCTGCTCTCATAAGTGACAGAACAATTAGCCCCTGCACCTCCACAGAAAACAGACAGGAAGAAAAAAAAGGCTGAACTACAAAGAACATGAAAAAGGTATGAACAGATCCCTCTAGAACCATGATTTTTCCACAGGTTGAACTTGGAGCTCTTTACATCCTAGAAAACAACTGCATTTCCCATAGGCATGGCACAATTAGTAACAGATGTCAGTCATAAGAGACTGCAGCAAGAAATCACTCTTACAAATGTTAAATTTTTGCTAGGTGTTAAATTGCTCCTGCAGTCAGATAAATAGCATCCATATAAGTTTACAATATTTCCATAGTACCTAACATTACTAATAAATCAAGAATCTTAGGTGTACAGAACACCTTGAGTAAAAAATGAAAAGCCAGAAGGCAAAGTGGAATCAGGACCCAAGCACTGATCTAATTTTGTATTTCTAATCCTGACAACCAGATAAAGGCAAGACAAGATACTAGTTGGTAGATCTCTCACTTTTTAAAAATCTTTACGTTTTTACAAATGAGGAATTTCAGTTCAAATTTCAACCTATGTCTTGACAATCTTCCCTGTAAACCATCTCTGGTACACGGCCTATGGGTTTTCTGCAGGAGAATGCCAAAATCCTAGTTTAAGTGCAAGCAAGAACATGACCCCTGAATTATGAAGGTCAAAAGCTTCATGGAATGGTAGTCTGAGCTACCTACCCTTCAGTGTCCTCTGCTTCTGTGTTCCACAGCAGAGATATTGGAAAAGGTGTAGCATCTGTCACAGAAAATTCTCTCACTTTAAAAGCTGGAGAAAGAATGGCACACTGAAAAAATAATAAAAAACAAACAACAAAAAAGCTTGCATTAAAGCTGGTTAACTCCTCTACTCCACTAGACATGACAGCAAAAAATTTTCAAACAAGTGAAAACTGTATTGATTTTACTAGACAGAACTATTTCAATACTCAATTTCAATGCAGTATGAGAAGAGAAATCTCCCACACAAGTGTTTATGTGCTGTGTTAGCAGGTCTTTTGCAGCTTGTGAGTAAAGGTAACACTAAGGAAATAACAGGATTATAAAAAAGGGAAATTCTGCAGTGCTTACTCCTAAAAGAAGTGTTTATCCAAAGGGTCTTGCTTCTTTCCCTGAACACAACTGATTGCTGGCAATGGAAAACTGTCAGTGAGACAGAGTAAAGAAACAAGTCAAAGAGAAGAGGGTGAAATAAGACAAGAAGTTAAAGGAGAAAAGGAAGAATACAGAATGTGTGGTTTGCTTGTAAAATATAGCTGAAAACAGTAAAAACGGGAGGGAGACAGAATAAAACCTGTTTCACATTAATAGCAAGCTGGATACCAGGAAAGTCAAACTTGCAGTAGTTTGGGCTCTCCATAGATCTTATACCTTGTTGAATAAAAGTAACTTTCAGCTTGACAACAACTTGAATTTTTGGCATTAAAGATCTCTAGATTGTGTTCTTCTGAAGAGCAGAGTGGGCTGCTAACAGAATGCACCCTGCAATAGACTACTGCACCAGGGAGGAGTACTCTGGTCTTTTTAAACAGTACAGTCCCATAAAAAGACCTAGTGAACACATATGTTCCCTTGAGTACTTTAAAATGGACCACTTTTCATAACTGCTTGACCTATTCTTCATGGAAGAAACACCTCTATTAATTTCATCAAGTGTTGCCAGTACTATACCTGCAGAGCACAGCCCCTAGCTATGGCTTCATCTGCATTCAGTGTTGTACTGACATCCTTGCCAAAGAATTTAGCAATCCTCTCCTTGACAGCAGGAATACGAGTTGCCCCTCCCACAATCTCTACAGCATTTACATCTTCCACTTTCAGCTGTGTTTGTTCCATTAATGAAAGCAGAGGCATCTCTATCCTCTGCAGCAGGTCAGCACACAATTCTTCAAATTGTGACCTAAGAGAAAAAAAAATGGAATTAACTAAAGAATGCCTGTCCCACAAGAACCTTGCCTGGTATTTGTTTCCAGACTGATGCTGACTAGGTTGGTTAACGACACTACAGAGACCTAAAGCTAAACTCCTGTGAGTAGGCTAAAGTGGCAACCATAGACAGGGTAGTACACAAACAGCTGCTTTCAAATTTTCCTAAGCCACTATCAATGCAGTTAAATAAGATAAAGGTTTTGTTTGGGCAGCTGCTATGTATTTGCCTCAGAGCAAAGGTTACAGATAAATCAGAAAACACTGACACTTCCTTTATCATGAAAAACTGTTGCCTAAACACTGGAAGAAAAACAACCCACCACTCTTAGCAGTAGCTACAGAACAAATGAAGCCATGCCTGTAAACATGTGTATGAGAGACAGACTTCATTTACACTTGGACCATAGTCAAGTCATCACCCATCAGCACCGTTTCTGCCCCCATTTCTCTATCAATATCCATAGTACACTAAGAACAGAAAAAAAGAAACAAAGCTGAAATTGTTGCTATCTTAAGAGAGTATGGGATTTAAGTTACCTAAAATATGCAGAAAGTCAAAATATGCAACCAACCTTCTGGTTTGCAAGCATCAATCCATGGTTTTAAGACCATATTCTACAAAAAGAATCTAAATTTTTATGTATGTTATTGCACTGAAACATTCAGTTCAGGTTAGCTGAACATCCCACTTCCCAGCCTTAGCTATTCTAACATTACAAAGTGCCACAGCTATTCAGCACTTACACTTAATTTTAGCACATTAAGTTTCTTTCAAACACTGACACACTTTTAAAAAATGGCCACTAAAGCAAATGCCTGTCTTGTACAGAACTCACCTGTTCATTTTTCCAGATACATCAGTATCATTCATGAAACACTCAATATTTAGGGGAATGTCTGTGCTATTTGAACTCATTAGTTTCTTCAGTTTCTCACATTCCTGATACAGACGAAGAAGAGCCCGAACTTTGGTTTTTGGATCTAGTTTGTATTTTGATTTTATTTCTGCACAAAAGTAATCTACCAGCTTTCCATCAAAGTTTCTCCCACCGAGGAAAGGGTCAAATGCTGTCCCAAGTACCTGGTTTAAAAAACCACAATTATTTAGTTTAACACTAATAAAATCACAGGGAATAGCAGTCTTCCAGTATCAGCAAGTCCTTTCTTCAAAATAATGTTGGAGACAGGTCAGCCTATCTTCCAATGCACAGTTACATCAGCCAAAAATTGATCTTCACTTTTACAGAGGAAATAAGACTAAGTAAGTAACTGACAATCCTAAGTATTCAAAATTTTCATCCATACACTCATTTAGATAAAGCAAAATAAATTATAGCACTAGTATTATTTACCTTACATTTGTGTATTGCAAGAAATTTACATCCTGTTTGAAACAATTCTAATGAAATGAAGAACACTGATGAAAACCTTTGCCTTTTGACTTGTTGCCACTTTCCATGCATTAAATTATTTAAGAATTTAAAAATGAAGGCAGATTGGCAGGCTATTTGATTCTAATTGCTGGTAAACATTTTAATTTCCATTTAATCTTACTACCTTTAGCTTACTCTTGTTGAATGCACAGGCTGATACTTGAAATGCGGAATGTCCCATATCAACAAACACAACTATCCGTGGCTTCTCTTCAGGAGCTGGAAGGTCTTGTTTATAAATTCCATAATTCAGAGCCACTGCAAAAGAAGCGTCAGATATTATCCACACAGTCTCTAATTTCCAGTGGCATACCACAACAACCCTGTGAACATTAAGCTATAAGATCAAAAGCATAAAGACAAATCCAGACATACACCTGTGCAACATACACTATCTTTGTGGAAGCTTCGTTCCATTAATCTAAGCTGTAGGACCTGAAAAGCAGAACATACTCCCTTAGTCACGTATATGCTCCCTCAGCATTTGTTTGGGCTTGTTTCTTTTTGCCTTGCAAAGTAATCAAAAACACAGAACATCTTAACAACAAAACCCAAACCCAGTTTTGTATTTCCAGTGAGTATCTTCCAAGCTGGGAAGTTTTGTCTGAGAGTTGTATAAATGGTCAGCAGAGCCATGTGTCTGCTTAAAATCCTGACTATACTGAAAAAAAGCCTTGGAAGTTATGAGGTGTTGATGTTTAATCAAGGAACTTCCTTTAGGAGTGTCTAACTCCTGCAGCTGTGCATCTGGGCAGTACATTAAATGAACAAGTAGTCCAGGCACATGCAGTGACTTCTAAATAAGTGCTCAGGGAGATAATTATCAATGGAGCTTGATCTCATCTACCCATTCACACAGAAGACATTAAATCAAAAAAAGAACAGCAAGTTTTTCAAATATTTATATTTGCCTTTTCAAGTCAGTCCTTTTTCTTAAAGTATTTAAATGCACCCTCTATCCCACTTGTCAACTGCAGGAACTGCTATTTTATCCTACTTACCTGCTGTCATGTCATTCATTAATCTAAGACAATTCAAACCAACAATCTGAGCTGCATCCAGAAGAGATCTCCTTTCAGCATCTGTGAAAAATGATGGAACCTGAAGAAAGTAGGTGAGAATACAAAGTTATTTCCAGAAAATGAGACATTAGACCACTTATTTGAAAGTATTAATTTCAAAACTGTATCTATTCCTCCACTTTGAGGAAGATACTTCCTTCAAGCCTCTAAAATGCAACTACCATACTGAATTGACACTTCAAATATTCTACTCAGAGATGGAATTAAACCAGCATCAGCTAGTTTACATGAGCCCACACTAGCAAGAAACAAATGAGTTATTTGTATACAAATGCTAATAACAGCAAGTGCTGGCCCAAAAAGTGAAACTGGATATTATGAAGACAGTGACATGAATACCTGGTACATGAATACCAGGCAGACTCCAAAAAAGGAAAGAGGGAACTAAAAGCACACAGCAATACTACAGATGTCAGAGATGCAAAGAAATAAGGGATAACAAATGAAGAGAATCTATTTAGGCAGAAATTACTTCAGGCAAGAAGTGCTAAGAAATTATGAAGGAATTTCTGCTGAAAATTTTCTACAGATCTCTAGCACTGGCCTTGGACAGTGCCTTCTGATGTTCCCCCTCCAGGGACACATGAAGAACAAGCTTTCCAGGTTCAACTGGAGAATCAACATTTCTAATAATAACAGAGCTAAATATTCCTAGATGCAACATGAGATAGACTTGTTCAGAGTCATTGAGAACAGAGAGGCAGGTGTTATTTTATACTGGGGCTTTGCAATGGAATGACTGATCTTGATCTGAGGTCATTTTCTGTGCAGTCATCACAGTGAAAGAAACAAAGCAAAGTTTGCTGAAAGGATGAAGATAAACAGGACAGAAACTAAAATTTTCAGCTGACAGAGGGCAAATCTTCATAAACAAAGGAAATTGTTCAAAGCTGTTATTATCAAATTGTTTTAAATCCAAAAAAACCCACAAACATATGTATTTACTTCAATGAGTAATTAGTATGCTTAGTCATGAAAGCAAGCTGTTCCAGAAGGATTTATACATGGATCCAGAAACATTTTGGGTCCAAAGGTCCAGACATTTACAAGAGAATGAGCTTATGAAGCTAGTCAGGGTCTGGAATATGGCAGCAGCCCTGGGATTTCTTTAAGTCAGAAGCTCTAAACCTAGTTTGGGTTAATGTCTTTGTAAGTGCTTAACAGAGTTCTTTTTCACTCTGCATGAATAGAAACAAAATGCCCTCAATAGCTGAAGTTAAAAGACATAATGTTCCTGTGCACTACAATTACTTACAGAAATAACACAGTCTGTTACTGGCTTTTTCAGGTTACTCTCTGCAGTCTCCTTCAATTTAGTCAATAGCATAGCTGAAATCTGTTCCACACTGAAGATGTGCTCCTCATCCATGTACATCACCTGGATAGAATAGGTAAAATAATTCCATTAGTTCAACTGATGGAAAATTGCATACATTTAATGTTCTTTGATACACTGCTGCCTAATACTCTATGAATCACGACATGCTTCATTATTTCATTATAGAACTTCAGTTTACAATTTAATTTCCCAGCTGAGTGTTTTTAGAAGCAATAATTCTATCCTGTCTTAAAACATCAAGAACTGTATCAACTCCATAGATTAAGGAAATTGCCAAAAATGACACAAGTTTAAAATGTGGCACACCATTAAGTAAAAATAGCCATCATTTTTCAAACTGACGCCAAATGCAAAAAATGTACAAAAGTACTTGCTGTGTATTTTTCCTCAGCATTTTTATCCTTCTGCTCAAACACGTGAAACGTCCCTGAAAGGAAGAACTGTGCAACAACAATTCACCTATGCACATGAAACAACTAAAAGCTTAAGATAAAGCTTAGCAAAAAGTTTATTTATTGCTCTCTTAGCAAAAAATATTCTGAAGCACCATTTTTATCATGCAATAGAATACATGACAATAACGAAGTGAAGTAATATGTTACAGCTGAGGCTTGAAAGTAACACTTCTCTTTTATTCACTCAGTATGGTTTGGGGAAAAATTAGGCACTTTGGTTTTAATAGAAAAACTGTTCTCTAAACCTCCCAGTCTTATTGAATTTTACAGAATCAATTATTAAAACTTTTTAACCACAGTTAAATAGAAATAAATACTAATTTGTTCTCCAATCAGCCTAAGAAAAAAAGGTAGTAGAGTTCACCCAACACTAGCCTCTCACAGTACAAGACTCCTACACACACTGATTAAAGGAAACCAATAATTTCTGTCTGAATTTATCTGTTAACCTCACAAATCACAAACAGCAAAAGAGAAAGCATCTTCCCTTTTTTTCTGTGATCTATTCACTACTTAGGACTGATCTATACTGAAGTTATGAGGGACCAGTTCAAGCTAAATTCTTCAACAGTGAGGCAACACTGATTGTTATGCCAGCAAGGCTTCATTATCAGTAATTGTACATATTTCTGTAAATGGACACAATGTTATTAACATCATTGATTCTATGAAAAGCTGACATTGTATCAGTGAAGTCCTTGAAAGGTAAGCAAGAGCCAAACCTGCAATGTGGTAGGAGCGGGTTTTGAACACCTTTTTGCAAGTAACTGACTCCAGGCAGTCCGCTAAAGACACACTTGCCACTCATCTAAGGCAATCATTCTAAAGAAGAGTTCTGACTATTTTCTAAAGCATTTGTAAAACACCTAATAGGTCTGCTGCAATTAATTCCACACAAGTGGCAGAAAGTCATACTTTGAAGTAAAACCATACAACCTTGTAATTATCTTAGCAGTTTTTCTGCCAGTGCGTTTTGAGCTAGAGGTGCAATTTGCCAACAGGGAAACTTGCATTTCAGCAATTATTTGTAAATGAACCTTAATTTGAAGGTTAATATCCACTATTTAAAGATAAAGCAGTCTATTCATAGAAGAGCTCTTCTTTAACAGAGAGATTAAAGCAACCTACCTTTAGGGTAATTAAAAGAAACCCATATTTTCATTTCAGGTGCTGAAATGTAAGACTTCAGATTTAGCTATACAACCCAGAAAGATACACTGCAGATTTACCTTCACTCCAACTCCACCATTCTTCATGGGAACCAAATCATAGCTCAACTTTTCTTTTTCCTTCTGAACAAAAGGATCATTAAATGCACGGCCATGGAATCTCTTGAAGTTAGATACAGTGTTGTGGGCATGAGTAATTTGCTGTAAAGAAATACAGGATAGTTAGAAATCCACTCTTAATCAGCCTGCAGTGTTCAGTGCTGTTCTGTAGGCTCCCAAGCACAGGTCAAGTTTTCAGACTACTGCTCACTCCCTTGTCACAGCTTTATTTAACACTGGTAATTACTGTCTGGTACTTTTTATCAGCTCATTAATAAGTTAGACAAAAACCATTACTTATTAAGGATTATAAAACTATCCATCTCTGAAACCTTGAGACAACTGGGTGAACAATAACATGATCAACAGAGTCTACTACTTCAGTCAACTAGTTTAGAATGATAGAGCCACTTAAATTGGAAAAGGCCTTTCAGATCAAGTCCAGCTATTAACTTAACACAGCCAAGTTCACCAATAACCCCAAGAGCCACATCCACACACCTTTTACATATCTCCCAGGACAGTGACTACACCACTTCCCTGGGCAGCCTGTTCAGATGTTTATAAACCATTCAGATAAAAAATCTTTTGCTAACAGCCAATCTAAACTTCTCCTTTTAGATTATTACAGACAGTGATAAGGGCACACCTGAGCTTCCTTTTCTCCAGGCTAAACACCCCCAGCTCCCTCAGCTACTCCTCATCAGACTTGCTCTCCAGACCCTTCCCCAGCTCCATTGTCCTCCTCTGGATTCACTCCAGCACCTCAGCATCCCTCTTGTAGTGAGGGGCCCAAAACAGAACCCAGGATCTGAGGTGTGGCCTCACCAGTGCTGAGTACAGGGCACAATCCCTGCCCTGCTCCTGCTGGCCACACTACTGCTGATAAAGGCAAAGGCACCATTGGCCTTCTTGGCCACCTGGGCACAGCTCATGTTCAACCACTGTCAAACAGCACTCCCAGGCCTTTTTCCACCAGGCAGCTCCCCAGCCACTCTGCTCCCACCCTGTAGTGTTACATGAGGTTGTTGTGACTCAAGTGCAGGACACTGCACTCATTAAGCCTCACACAGTGGTCCTCAACCCTTCAATCCAGCCTGTTTACATCCTTTTGTAAAGCCATCCTGCCCTCCAGCAGATCAACACTCCAGTCCAGCATGGCCTCACCTCCAAAGTGACTGAAGGTGCACTCGATCCCCTTTTCCAGATCACTGAATAAAATATCAGATAGGGCTGGCCCCAAGTACTGAGCCTTGGGGAACACCATTGGTGATAGGCTGCCAGCTAGATTTAACTCCACCATAACACTCTGGGCCTGTCTATCCAGCCAGGTTTTAACCAGGTAGGAGTAACACCCCAGTTGTGCCAGTCGTCCTGCCACATTGCCATAATGGCAACTGTGTCAGAGTTTTACTGCTGCACAATGGTGTCCAGCTCCTCCTCTTTATTGCCTGTGTTGCAGGCATTGATGCCTGCTGGCATGCACTTCATGGGCTATTGATCCTACCCCTTTTTGCAGAAGTCCCAGCCCCTATGTGACCATTCTCAGGAGCTTCTACAGTTTTTAAACACATCAGTAATAACCCTTGTGTCACTGCTGCTGAATGGATCTCCATCCCATCTCCACCAAGGCAGCAGAGTGAAGGACCTCACTCTCCCTCAAACACTGCTGTAGTGCACCCCAGGCTTACTTCTAGCAAACTTGGTTGTATGTCTTCCCCCCTCCAAATCTGGTTTAAAGCTCTCAGTGATCCCTGCTAGCTCCTGTGCAAAGATCCTTTTCCCCCTCTGAGACAGGTGTACCCTGCCTGTTGCTAGCAGTCCTGCTGTCATGTAAACTGACCCATGATCAAAACCCCCAAATTCTGCCAATGGCCTCAAGCTCAGATATTGGTCTGCTGGCTCTTCCTGTTTCCTCCATAATTTCCTGCAACTGGAAGGATAGAGAACACATGATAGCACTATTTGTGCTCCTGATCCCTTAAGCAGTCATTCCAAGGCCCTGAAATCTTCCCTGATTGTCCTTGGACCTCCTGGTGCAACCTCATCACTGCCAATCTGAGAAATCAATAATGGATAATTATCTGACAGCCATACCAGGGCAGGAACTTGGACCCCAGACAGGCAGCAGACTTTCCTAAGAAGTGGTTCCTGCCAGCATATTGGGCTTTCTGCTCTCTTCCAAAGGGAGTCTCCTACAGTAATGTCCTCTTTTTCTTCAGGGAAGCAGTTTTGACATAGGCCAACTTAACCTCGGTGACAGATTGCTCCCTATCCCTTCAAGTCAGTGTTTTCCAGCAGGTGGAGGAGAGAGAAAGGAATCCTCTGTGTGTCAGGTCTGCCTCCCAGGCATGTCCCAGGGAAGGCAGGGTGCAATTCCACTATATTATCTCTCTCACACACACTCCCTGATAGTCCTCAACCCACACATTCCTGCCAGAGTTCCTCACTAAGTGGAAGAGTACCTGGGCATTCTCCCAGAGCTGTGCTCACAGGTGCCACCCAGTACTGGCACTGAGAGCAGGGCTCACCCTGCAGGTGCCACCCAGTACTGGCAGTGTGTCCCTGCCAGAGCTGTCTGTGTGGAGCTGAGTGAGGCCGTGCCTTTCTGCCAGGTGGGCACCACTGCTCCTGCCTGGGCTGGCACTGCCTCTGCACCTTCCTGCACACTGCTGAGCCACAGCCTGCTCACCAGGGCTCCCTAAGGGCTTCTTTTGTATTTGGGAAAAACTGCTGCTGTTGGTCCTGGCCCCACCTAGGTCCCATCAGCCACTGCCACTCAGCTGCAGGCTTCTGGCAGCTCTTGTCTCCCCGTGACACTCCCCCAGTTCAGGAAACCGCCCTGTGCACTGCACTGGAGCACTCTGCTGCTGATTGTGCTGGCAACCAGAGCCACTCACCTTGCACCTCACTGCTGTCGCCCAAATTCAACTTAGACCAAATTCAAATGTTTAAAGATTGCAACTACATATGAAGCCGGTTTCTCTGTCAGTAAACTGGCCCTCCAACCCAAGCCACACCACCTCCACTTTAAACATTATTACATAAAGTGCAAGCAAGGGCTTTCCTAGTTACTAAGTGTCAAGCTTAAGTGTCCCCATATATTTCAATAGTTACTTTTTCTCCCAGAGCTACTTTGAAAGCACATCATTTCCTCGCTCACACTCATCTAGCAGAAACTCAAATTCCTACACTAGACCAAAGAAGAATACAGTGCATAGACAACTTGGAATTTTTTTTTGCTAACATTTTAGCTTGAAATATGTGCCAAACTCCAATGCAAACTCCCCAGAGCAAGCAAGTGACATAAAGAAGCATTCGTTATCAGAAATGCAAAGCACAACAGAAACCAGACAACAAGAACAGCCTAAGAGATAATGCAAGTATCTCAGAGTAGACTTAATTCTATTTCATTAGAGAGAAATTACAAAAGTGTGTTATTATCTACAGAATAGATTTAGGCAGGCACCAACAGACTGCATGATAGCAACTCAAATGCTGAGCATACCAAGGAATATTTCTAGCATTCACTACCCTCAAAGAAAAGCATCAATTCCTGGTTGCACTAAAAATTTTCCACCACGGAATAGAAGAATTTGAGCTACATCTTTATTAAAAAGCTACTCAACTAGGACAGTTCTCCTACAGAAAAGCTCCCTGACAAAAAAAGGAGGCCATACTCCCACTAAAAAGCAGTAACTCTCAGACAGCTGTGTCTGTGGAAAGATGTCACACTTGGACTGCCTGCTGAGAGTCATCCTCGGTTTATTCCAATCACCAAACAGTGCTCAGCAATTAATAGTACGAGCACAAGTTAACGCAGGCCAAAAATCATGCCAGGAACTATTCCAGTACTTAAATGTGATTGAGTAGTTAGGTTCCTGTGTTGAAGATTGTTGCCCAGCATGGTTTTATTTATTTGTATAGCCACAACTTCAGAGTGCTTGAATGCTACGTATTTCACAGCTGTACGACTGAAGAACGTAGCAGCAGGAATTATTACCATGTAGTGGGTAGAGAAGCACAAACACTCTGGCAGCTTTTATAGCCTAATTTAGAATTAACCTCAAAGCCTTTTCTAAGAGAACAATCTTAAGATATTTTTAGAGTAATTGTATGCCATTAGATCTGTTTTAATATCTTCCTGCTTAGTCAGAATTAAGAAAGCTGAGAATTATGATCTGTTAACTAATGTACTTTTCTCATCTCCAGTGCCGCCATGCTTACCTAAAGGTTACAGAAATTTGCTGAAAATTTGCTCCAGCAGCAATTTCTCAAATATTAAAGAGAGCACCTTTGAGTATTTTGAGTTCTCTCACAAAATCACACCATAGAAGTCACCAGTCAAAACCTCTTTTTATTTTGCGGGATATTTTTGGTTTTCTGCTTTTTATTTTTCAAATAAAAACAATCATTGCATTCCTTGATTTAAGTAGCTATTACATCTGAAGACACCAAAAATGTAACTCTCAGTACTCCATGTCAGGAAACTTCCACATTTACAGAAGAAACACAATTCACATCTTAAGTCATCTGCCAAACTGGATGACTTACAACTACAGAAATAAACGATCTGTCATCTTTTATCATTTAAAGTATTACATTCTTTTTTCTTGGCAAAAATATTTAGCTTCAACTTCTAGGAGAGCCAAGCATGAAACACTCAGTCAAGTAACACCATACAGGTTAGTCTGAAGGTACTAAAGTCACAGGTGTTCATCACTGCAAATACATACTTGTAAATGCAATCTAAGAGAATCTGCCTCACTTGCAGCCTCCTTCATATTTTCCACAGGACCTACTGGAACAATCTAACAATACTGAAACATGCTTGAGACTACATCAGGTTCAGATAATTTCTCATTTTGAGTAACAACTCATTTTTGCACACTAATGAATCATGCTAGTTTCTGACTTGCAACAATGTCAGCAGTCAACTGAGCAATGCTGAAATGAAATTTAAGAAAAAACCACAAACACATGTATTTACTTAATTACTCCAAATGCTAACCTGTAACTGAATGTGCCCGTGCTTGTTAACATGTGAAGTATTTGTATTGCCTCGGCTATTCAAAATTAAGAGGAGTGCTATTATAGTGGAATAAAGTCTCCTCCAGTGCTCTCTCCATGGAAACCCACTGCAGTCCTTTGCTACATGAGAGAGATGCACAGGCCAGCTGAGGCTGCATGCTTGATCTCCCAGCAGCAGTTATGTAACAACGCACAATACCTAAGGATTTGTTTAATCATTACAGTTTGTTATTCTGAGACTAGTTGGAATCAAGTTCTCCTTCTAAACTGAAAATACTACTTTAACAAAGAAAACAATCTTTCAAAGCACCTCAATAAAAAAAAAAAACACAAAAACAACAAAAAACCAAAATAAGGACTTGCACCTTCAAAACCAGCAGCATTTAATTTACAGCAAATCCAAAGGTAGTAAGGTACCCTAAATAGCTTTAAGAATCTGAGCAAAAGGTCTCCCTTTACATCTAATTTTAAGAGACTATATACAGAATTTAAAATGCTTTCCATCAAGTACAAGGAAAATCCTGTATACAATCATTAGGAAAAGAAATCCAGTGACCTTAACTTGTCAGAATATGAACATATTCCACTGGAAAGTATTACATTAATGAAGCAGGGAGCAGAAGCATTCTAGCAAAAACATCCTACATTTCTCCAAAGAAAGCATGGCAGCATAGTGCAGCATTTCTAAAATAAAAGACTCAACAAGAAACTGAGGCTGTTTGGCTTTAAATACACACAGCCAACTCTCTTTACACACACACTGGTACTTCAACAGTTTGCAGCAGGAAATGACCTACCTGGTTTTTAGCCGCAACACCGATAGCTCTGTTTTTGGATCCAAATGAAACCACTGACCTGGAAAGAACAACAGGCTAATTAACACGACTGACAACTCTCACGGATTCATTTTCTGCTACTGCAGATAAAACACCTTAGCCTTTCTGTCAAAGTGTCATTCCTGTCGTAAAAAAACTACAGGAAGACTTTTATCCGTCTTAAAGCCTTGGCCCAAATCCAGGACTTTTCCCAATAGCTTATCCGAACGGTGGAACAGGATGATCGCAATTCAGAGCTCACAGCCGGACTACACCCTACCCGTCTGTGCATGGCTGCTTCCAACTTGTCAACTAACTCCTGCTTGGGAGCCAGAGGCTTTCTATATCTAACCTCTGACTAAGGGAGAGCTGCCCTGAACAGCTGGCAGAGCCCACCCTCCGCAGCACGGGTGGCAGCGTGTCCGCCCGTGTCCCACTTCACCCGGGCTGCCCCCCGGGATCCTCCCCGCCCGCCGCAGCACGGCCCGAGCGGCTCCGCACAGCCCCGGGCACTACCCGCGGGACGCGCTCCGGCTCCGGGGCACGGAACGGGCCGGGACCGGGGGAACACCGAGGGTGAGGACCGGGACATACAGGGGAACAACGCGGGTGGGGCCCGGGGGCACTGAGCGGGTCAGGGTCGGGGCGCAGCCGGACGCAGCGGCTGAGGGGATCGGGGCACACAGCGGGTTGGAGCGGGAAGGGGAGCACGGGGGCACGCAGCGGCTCGGAGGGACACACAGCGGGCTGCCGCCCGGCCCCGCCACCCTGTACCGACCCCCCGGCTGGCCCCGCACAGCGGGAACCCCCCCCACGCTCCACCGCGAAACTTCCAGCAGCTTCTCTACGGCGGGCGCCCCGCCGGGCACGGACCGGCCCCTGCCCGCCGCACCCCCACACTCACGGCGTGCACCGGTCGCTGAACTCGTTGGCGACGGTCTCGATGCCGCCGGCCCGCGCCACAGCGATGTAGCAGCTCTGGAAGCCCAGATCAAAGCCCACCACGGCCATGGCCCCGGCGCCAGAGGGAGGCCCCCGCTCTGCCCGGCTCGCTCCCGGTGCTGCTGCGGCCGGCGGTCCCCGTAGCGTGCGCGGGCGGGCGGGCGGGGAGGGGACGCAGCGGCGCCGCCGCCGCTTTAAATATGACAATGAGGCGAAGTTTCCAGAAACTGCGGCAGCCACTCACCGGCTCCACGTGCGGCTTCCGCTTCCGCCCTCGGCCGCCTTCTCGAACAATTCCCGCCAATCGGCGGCTCCGAGCGCGGTGACGTTAACCGTTTCCACGGCGATCGCGGACGCCGCCGGCCCCCCGGGGGCGGGGCCAGGCGCGCGGGGCGGGGCGGGGCGGGGCCGTGTGGAGGAGGCGGCGGGGGCCGGGGCCGAGAAAGGCGGTAGGGGCTCCCCGACCCGGAATGTGCGGGAGAAAGGGATACGAGCAGCTTTTCCCGTCCGTGCCCTCACTTTAGTGCACTGGGTACCCTCTCTAGAGCTCTTAGTCACGTTGTTGTGGGTATCTCCCTCCCGCGCTGGCGGGCGAAATATGCTAATTGTACGCATCACTGGCTCTCTGCAGAGGGCTTTTGTCTCGGCGTGCCACAATCCGCTATAACATAAATGTTCTATTGCCTCCTAGCAGTCCAGCTCTAGCTTTTTGTGCAGGACCCCATCCCTGCTGGAAGAAGCCTTAACCCCCTGCATTCCGTACGGAGGTGTGGTGGGTACACAGACCCTGTTCGGTTGTCAGCAGTGCATCCATCACAGAATCAATCCGGTTGGAAAAGTCCTCTGCGATCATCGAGTCCAGCACGTAACAGAACCATAACAACCAGACCTTGATACTGAGTGCCTCATCCAGTCTTTCCTTAAACCCCTACAGGGACAATGAGTCCGCCACCTCCCTGGGCAGCCCATTCCAATACCTAATTGCCCTTTCCGTGAAGAAATTCCTCCTAATGTCCAGCCTTACACCCCCCAGGCACAGCCTAAAGCTATGTACTCTCTGCATGTTGGGGCTGCCTTTCAGGTCCTGGCTGTTACAAAGGGCAGGGAGAGATGATAGCATTCACTGTCCTGAGTGTCCCTGCATGGAAGAGGCAAGATATTTCCACTCCCACCCCCAATACCCCTCTCTAGGAACTGTGATTCAGCAATTTCTGATAAAGCTTTGCTTCAGTGTTGAGTAGCATTCAGCTCTGCTGGATTTTGACCCCTCTTGGGGAGGGGAGGTATGGGGAGGATTTGGTCTCCTAAAATAGTGCTTGCCTGTTTCAGAGGAGACACAGGGCTGAAAAATTCATGATACCAGCGTGACTAGCTAAAGATGCAGCTTCTAATCTCAGAACAAGGTTGGCCTGGTAGATGTGTGTGTGTGAGCTGGTGAAGTTTCATGTCCTTACTTGACATGGTAAATATTCATGGTAATGTATTTCCAGCTTTGAATGAGGAGACAGACTTCATCAAAGTATTTAGCTGCTTAAATATCCTGATACAGAAATGCTTAAAGTACTTAAGCGGCCTTCCTGAGCATCCAAAGTCCTTGTATCCTGGATAACACTTCTGCAGAACTTGAATGTTAAAAACCAGTCTTTTAATTTATCGGCTCACCTGTTTGTCAGCTGTCACCCTGCCTGACAAGAAATAGGGTACCTAGCATTTTCCGTGGTTGTTTAGGAATTCCTGTTCTGGCAAATTATGGACATGCAACATATCTGGTGGTTAAACTGTTGCCATAGATGATAAAAGTAGATACCAAATATTCTTTCTGCTTTTTCTCTTTTGTTACAAACTATTTATCCTTGAATAGAAAAAGAAGAAAACTTGACTGTTTGCCCAGATTTGCAGCTGCTCTCTAAAGGGAGGAAAAGATCAGCAGCGAATTTGGAAGTTACTCTGCTGGCACCATCTCTGATGGTGCAGTGCAGTGGTTGAGTTATGCCTCCAATGAACTGGAATCCCAGTATGGGAATAAAGTTTATTTTTACTCAGCCTAGAGCAGAAGCACATATTGGTAGCGACTCGCTATGTGTTCCCACTATGGAACTGTAAATGGTGTTGAGGAGGAGTAGAGAGGAGATAAGAACTGTTGAGGGAGGTAAAATTGGTAAGGTGCTGCTAGAGATGGTTCCTGCCTCTGGCCTGGGGCAGCTGAGGCCATGGTGAGGGCTGTTCTGAAAGATTGGGCCAGTCCTGCATGCTGCCGGCAGATCTGTGGGCTGAAACCTTGTGGCTGTGGGCACAGCCCAATGCAGCAGGAACTGCTTTGTGCAGGGATAAGTTTGAATGTTCTGGTGTGAATAAAAACCCCCTGTTTTTCATCAGAAATACAAGATGGAAGAGGCATCAAGAAATGTCACGACATTGACTGGCTGAGGTTAACACTGGCAAGCCTGGCAGTGAGAACACTTGCATCTGTCTGTCCAGACTGATGCTCTGGATAAAGCCAGCGGGATGGAAATCCTTAAAACCCTGATTTACCAAGAGCTGTAGAAATGAGATTACAAGCTTTATTTCAAAAGTCTAGGAAAGGATTCTGAAAAGTCTTAGTTATTTCTTCCAGCAGTGTGGAGACTGTGTGTGTCTTCCTTCTAAACTAGAGACAGGAAGGGTTACATATGGACAGTCAATCTTCTTGTAGGGTGGGTGAGGAAACACTGTGACCTCTGCTGGGGTTAGCGTTGGAACACTAACCGTTCCGAACTGAGGCTAACCAGTGTGCTGCCCTTCTTTCTGGGTGTCACATCAGCCTTTACTGGATGTCCATGTGGACAGTAATGCTGGCCTGATGTGAAGTTTCTGTTAATGTTCTCCTTGGTCATGTTGTCTGTGATCTTAGTGCTGCTGGGAAGGGGAGAGGAGAGTTCTGCTACTCCTGCTTTCTCAGTGTTCAGTGGGGATATTTGGTTCTTGCATATGGGTGCTCTGTTTTAACCTCTGTGGTTTTGCAAAACATCAACTATTGTAGTTTGTTACCAGAATATAATGACTGAGCTGTGATTTTCAAGTTTTTGAGGTTGCCTCGCACATTTAGGATGAGTGTTGCTCAGTTTACCCAAATATTCTGTCTACTTTGGTGTTTAACCTATGATAAATGAAGAGATAGTTTGGTGATAAAAGGGTGCCTTTGGTGGATTTTTCCTCACCCCTCAGTACATGCAGGGAGTTGAGTTCTCTAAGCGCTCTTACTGTGGCACTTAATGGCTTGTGTAAACACTCCCACATTCTGACCTGGAGAAAAGAGCAATCTGACCTTCTTCAGTGCAAGCAATGCTTTAAAATGGTTGCTGATCAGGCCTTTAAAAAATATTTTCGTGTTTGATACTGTGGCCTCTACCAGAGCATTGATAAGGGTGTTCAGAAACTGAATTTAACTTGGGAACAGGAGTTATCTCATCTGTTAAACCAGTCCTAGTGTTGGTAACCTGCCATGGGGAGCAGAGATAGGATGACATTAGTGTCTATACAGGGAATGTTACCATTATAAAACATGACCTCAGTCAGCCAGAGGATGGGGCTGATGTCCCTGTGGAAGGCCAAGCATAGGCACTTATTCCAAATTAACATAGGAATCAATTGAGTATTTGAAATTTCTGCTGTGTTGCCAGAGGCCCAAACAGAGATCTACAGGATCTCTGCTGAGACAGTAGAGGTGGTGTTCTTTGTACATAATCTTCATATTTTATTGAAACAGAAAGCAGGAGAACCCATCCCAGTATAGGCAGGCAATGTGGAAACATTGCACTCCAAGTAAATAGGTCTCTGTCATTTATCTGGGGACTTTATATATGTTCTCACTTTCCATTTGGGGATTGAGCTGCATTCCAGCCCATGCTATTGTTCTAATCTGTTTGGAAGTTGCCTGTGCCAGCTTTACTGCAGCTGCCTCTGTAAATGTGAGCAGTTGGCCCTTGTGATAGCACATGCTGGTCAATCAAAGCTTCTGCACTGCTTCTGTCTCTCATCATTTGAGAAGGTCTTTAATGCAACCTAATGAGATTAGGGTTCATTTGTTCCTGGGTTCCCAGCTAAGTTTTAAAAGGGTAAAGAGCATTTCAGGTCATTGCTTATTCCAAAGAAGGACTGCCATTCCTGTCAAGCTGTGGTTCTCTGGAAGTACGAATTAGTTCACTAGACAGCTCCAGTAGTCTCACCCTTGCAGTATAATCCAGTACTTCAGCTCTTGCTTTACACTGATTTTCATACCACTGTGTTACCACTGTATGGTATTTATTTTCATGTACATAAACACATTGTAAATCAAGTGAAAAAGAGGATTGTGTCAAGGAAAATAATACGAGTTGCCAAAAGTCTATACAACTATGTGAGACTGACACATGATGCTTTTATTTTCACTTAATTTTTTTTTTTTTGGCACTTCTGTATAGGAAGTGTTAATGATAATTTCTACGGTATTATCTTTGCTAATACTTCCATTCACATTCTTATCCTGGAGAAAGAGGAAAATTGAAGAGGATATGTCACCAATGTGGTAGTGTAAGTAGCCTGAAGCATAACAATCTATGGGCACTGCTTTCTGAGTGTTTGAAATCTGAGCTGAGCTGTTCAGAGCATCCCTACCGAGGGGAATATCCACTTTGTACAAAATGCACAGGCTCTCGGGTAAAACAGATAAACTTAACTTGATAGATTTTTGCATGCTTCCTGATAAGAGCTTTAGCACTTGGCAAATTCTAATGAGGCTCTTTGTGGCTCTGGCCATGTGTCAGCACTTGGAGACACAGCACAGCACGGATCCAAATCCCAGAGTAACCAACAGGGTGATGATGGCTTTATCTTCCTCACACTCTGAATAAGACTCTTAACCCAAGAAACTTTCTTAATCTGAATACAAGGATGTTCCTTTTCTTGTGACTTTTTTCATTTTCATGCCAATTAATATATCTGTGTTCTTATAAAACATGAGTTAAAACAGAGCACACTTTATTTTTGAGGTTAACATGAATTCCTCAAAACCTGCAGCTGTGAATGTTTGCTTCGATGGCTGGAAAACTACTGTTACTGTCTGATGCTGACTAAGCATTACTTGTATTTAGAAAAGCACAAGTTAAGAATGAAACTAATGCAAAGGTGGAGAAGGGAAGTGAAAAGTTACAGTGC